CAATGATTCTCTCTCATCATGTTTCTATCTCTCCCTCTCCCTTCCTCCCTGAAATCAATAAAGAAATATATTTAATAATAAAAAAAAGATGACAGGAGAACCCAGCCATTGTGGCTCAGTGGTTGAGCATTGACCCAGGAAGCAATAGGTCACAGTTTGATTCCTGGACAGAGCATATGCCTGGGTTGCAGGCTCAGTCCTTGGTTGGGGACATGCAGGAGGCAGCCAATAGATGATGTTTCTCTCTCATCAATGTTTCTATCTCTCTATCCCTCTTCCTTCCTCTTTCTCTAAAAATCAATAAAAACATATATTTTTTAAAAAGATGGCAGGAAAAAAGCTGAAAACCTGATCCCTTGAGGGCATTCTTGAGCAGTGATAGAACCTAAATAAACAGCTAACCCTAGACTTTTTAAATATGTGGAAAAATAAATCTCTCATTTATTTAAGCCATTGCTTGTTAGGGTTTCTGATACTTGCAGCCCAATGTAACCCTAAGTAAAAGTAAAATATTATTCATTATATTTTAGTTAACAGACTGTGTTCCTTGGACTGGGATATAGTGCTGATATGGAACCCCAGTTATATTCAAGTTACACATGTAGTTACATATGCACGCACATAGTCAAGCACATATGCGTACATGCATATACACATATGAGCATTAACATAAACACACAAACACATACATGAATCTACACCAATATCCTTGCAAATGCTCACATATACACACAAACACTTGTATTTACATGTCATCTACACGTGCACACACATAGAAATACATGCACACACATAGAAATACATGCACACACATGCTTCAGGTAATGTCCGAGATGGGCTGGAAACCACGATTAACCTAAGGTTCTATGAGTCTCAGAAAGGACTAATAACCCTCACCTTCACCTAAGTCCCTTTGGTGGAACACCTGTAAGTTACCTGTGAATTACCACTTCTTGCCTCATGGGGGCAGGGTAGGGCTGGGTCATCAAGTAGGGGCAGAAGATTTGGATGCCAATATTGGGCATTTGACTGACATTGAACTTAGCTATAACTCGGACCCACAGCACAACCTTTTTTGTCACTCCCAATGTATACAACCACCCTCAATACCGCATACCCCACTTGATCAATATACACTCCATTCAACCACCACCATCACTCAGGCACCCATAGCTTCTAAAGCAGAGAGAGCTACCTGGAAAGAGGCAAGTTCCATCTCTTCCTGGTTGTGTGATTAACCTTGGGCAGTTTACTTCCTCTCTCTGTCCTCATCTATAAAATGGGGTGAAACAATAGGACTTTGTTCATAGGATCGCTGTGAGAACTAAATAATTTTGTTGGTGGTAAACACAATAATGTTGGCTGGTATCAATCTTATCATCAATGAACTGTTAAGGGCTGCTCAGATGTGAAGGACGATAACCTTCCATGGCCCTGAAACAAGTATTACCAGACATCTCAGAATCGCAACAGAGTCGGTAGAGACTTGAGGGGATCACTGAGTCTGACAACCTTATTTCACAATGGGAAATCTAAAGGTCAGTGAGGAAAAGGGACTAGTTCAAGGAAAACCAGGACTGGAATCCCATTCAGGGCTCTCCATATTCAAAGTTCCTCCTCAGATGTGAACTGCCCAGAGGAAGAAGAGAAAAGCAAGCACACCCTCATCCCCATAACTTCACTCTTGCATCCATTCAACAAACATTTCTTAAGCACCTACCATGTTCAGGCATTGTATCTTTCCTTTGGCCCCACCACCTAACAACACCAGGGCATGACTGTCTGAGGTGCCCCCCACTCCAGGCTTACCTGGGCTCTGGGTCACTGGGGGTACACCTTCTCGAGATATATGCCATCTTCAAGGACATGTGTTTGGCACCGTTGAAGTCTCGGGGTGGGGGACCAGGGGAGGAAGGCTGCCGCTGAAGGGGTGAGGCAGGAGGCGAGTCCCAGCCAACCGAGGTCCCGCTGGCAGAGTTCTTGAAATATGGTGAGACTTCCTTCATGTACTTGACTGGTCAGGGGACAGGTCAGCAGTTACCACTGTGACATGGGTTCCCATGCAGCACACATCACAATTTTCACTAATTCATTAAGACTTCAATTTATGACTAATGTCACTATCCTCTCCTAGGCTCAAGTCTCTGATTTTATGGTAGAAAATACTAGATGCATTCCAACATCTATTCTCTCATTTTTCCCGGTTTATAGACACATGGCCACCTGGAAGATAGGCTACATTTCCCAGCCTCTTCTGCAGCTAGGTGTCACCATGTGACTAAGTTCTAACCAAGTAAGTAGAAGTGTTTGGACCTTTGGGATCGACTGCTTACAGGGAACAGGGAACAGCTACAGCAAGGCAGTAAAAGAGCACCAACAGGGAAGTTAGGAGATGTGACTGCTCTGCCACGATCCCATTGTCTGCCTCTCTCTCTTCAGTCTTTTCATCTGCAGAAAAGAGGGGTTGAATGAGATAGTCATGTGGTAGAGACTGCTAACTGTCCTCCAGTATAATGATAGCCTCCCAGCTTAAGACTTCATTTCCCAGTCTCCCTTGCAGCTATATAGGTGCTCACGTAATCAAGTCTGGCTGATAGGGTCAGAGCAGAAGGGGTGTGTGTAACAATCAAGTTCTGTCTATTAAAGAAAGGGAACGATCCTTTCCCCCTCTTTTCCCCAACAGGGTTAAGTTGGCTAGAACAAAGGCTGGTGGAGCATTATCTTAACTATGAGTACATGAGCCACACTCTAAGGAAGGCTGACACTTTAAAGATGTCATGTCAGACTTGGATGTTACTAAGAAAGCAAGGAGCTTCTATTATATTTAAGCCATAGTATGTTATGGGTCTCTTATTATAGCAGCATAACTTGTATTGTAACCAATATAGGTGCCGAAGGGCCCTCTTAGCTCTGAACAATCATCACTGAGTATAGTGGACACCTTAGAGAATAACATTGTCTAACAGAGCTCTCTGTGATTATGTAAATGTTCTCTCTCTCTCTCTATATATATATATATACATTGTCCAAGACAGTAGCACTAAGCCACATGTGATTATTGAACATTTGAAATGTGGCTAGTACAAATGAGGAACTGCATTTTTTATTTTATGAGTCAGATAAGGTCCCTGCCTTCACAGTGCTCTCAGCCTAATGGGAGCTCCACACAGACACAGGGAAGTGGGCATTTTATTTAATTGTACTTATTATAATATTTTTTTAAAAGAATAAAAAAAAAGTTGTGCGGGGCTAAAACAAAAAAAAAATCAAAAGTCACATGCAACAAATGATGACCATATTAGACAGTACATCTTCATATTGCTAGAAGAGCAGCCCAGACCTACTCCTCTGCCCAACTGACCCATAGAGTCATGTTCTGACATGTGATCCTGCTTTCCTGGCTATGCTAGCTGGACCAGGGGTGACCATCTAACCCACTCTAGGCTACCCAGTTGAGACTGGTGTCTTGAACAAATTTGCTATGGGAGTCAACCACCTTCTGCTGTGGGGACAAAGAAGGGGGGAAAGCTGGTTTGCAGAGAGGTAAAATTAGTGGAGATGCATGTCAAGAAACAGAGGGGAACACCTGCTAATGTTCCAGTTTCTAATGCTTGTTCGTTAGAAAGTCAGGCTGCCATGTCAACAGAAGTTATGACATTTGCAACCAAAAGAGTCGTGATCAGGACCTGGATCTCATGCCTCTCTAGAAAAAGAAGATCTCACGAACACTGGCAGCTAAAAGTAAAAGGCAACATGATGACAGGGTTGATCTGAGAAGAGCTTTGTGGGAGTAGAGATTCAGAAACAAGTCAGTTTTCTTGAGCACCTGCTATGTGTCAGGTATTGGACTGGCCCTAGGTAGGACTGGAATGGTAAACATATGACACTTACGCTACCACTTCTTTATCCCTTGCTCATGGAATATATCATTAATCAATAACAGTGTTCTATGGCAGCCATTACCAATCAATTAAGGTTGATTGGTAATAAAACATTTTGGTCATTCTTGCTATATCATTTGTTGAAGTCTGGCTGCAAATAATAGAACATATGATAACAATGCCTTGAGCAATAAAGATATTTCTGATTTCACATAACAAGAAGTCTAGAGGAAGGCAATTTTAGGATTGGTTCAGTGGCTCAATGACACTGGATTCAGGGTAAACCTTTCTGCCATTCTCATGACCACAGAATGGCCACAGCTCAAGCACGTCAACAACACCCAAAGCAGAAAGGGAAGAGACAGGCAGAAAAGAGACTGTCTCCTAACACCTTCTTCTTATCAGAGAGGGAAATACTAGTATTTCCATGAAGCCTTATATCTCATTGATCCAAGCCGGGTGCAGGCCCACTTCTAGCACAATTATTACCAAGAGGAAATAGTTATGCCTGGCCAATGTGGCTCAGTAGTTGAGCATCAACCTATGAACCAGGAGGTCACAAGTTTGATTCCAGGTCAGGGTACATGCCCAGGTTTCAGGCTCAGTCCCCAGTGTGGAGCATGCAGCTCACAGCCGATGGATGATTCTCTCTCATCATTGATCTCTCTCTCTCTCTCTTTCTCTCTCTCTCTTCCTCTCTGAAATCAATAAAATTTTTTAAGAGGGAATAGTCATGATTTAGACCAATCACAATTCAGCCTCTGGGAGTGAGCATATTTCCACCCAAAAAATCAGGCTTCTGTTAGCAAGAATGAAGGGGAAATGATTGAAGGCAAGCAACAGTGTCTGCCACATGTGCCCTGGCATTGGAACTATTCCCAATTCTCATGAGCAGCAGTCTCCTCACCTCTAAAATGAGCTACTAGGAAGATGGTATATCAAGATTTACAAGCACTACTCTCTCTTCCCCCAGCCAGGTGGTCCCCTCTACTGCCCTACTGAAGGTACCTATCCCTGTTACCCCTTGAGCAGCCTTCCTTCCTCTCCCCTCAGCCATCTGGTTTGCTAGTCATCTGATGTATGCAGTCAAGGCCCAACCAGTACGTTCTTCCTGTGAGCGGGCAGACGAGATGGAGTGAAGAAGCAGTTCTTAGCCCAGATCCCTGGAAGAACCAGATAGGACCTAGTTCTGTCACAGGAGACTGCCCTTGGAGTGGGAGAGGAAGGTAGAAACTCTACTGAGGTTGAAAGAGAAGTTTTGTTGAAAATAAGAGTAGGTTTTTGTGACAGAACTAAGCCTATGCCCAAAGTTTTGGGGACTAGGACTAAAAAGAACTCATCATCATCATCATAGCAATGACTTACCCCAGAACTGAATGTTGGATTATGTCTCAAGGGACAATGAAGGTGGGACACATCACAGCCTATATGACATTCAAGCCATCCCCCTGCTCTTTTCTCCTTGCCAACAGAACCCTTTCTATCTCTCTCTCTCCCTTCCTCTCTGAAATCAATAAAAATCTATTTTAAAAATAAATAAATAAATAAAAATTAAATTTTTAAATGCCCTCAGGTGAGGAATAATAATAATAATAATAATGATAATAATAAATATAAGAGGAATGACATTGTCTACCTTAGAGAGAGGTTAGAATTAAATGAGATTATGTAAAACATGTGGCACAAGTTAAGGACTCAAAAAATATGTTTCTTAGCTATCAGCCACCTCTGCCCACACTTCTGAGAACTCTATTGTTATTTTGTGCATTGGGGTTGTCTCTCCCAACAAAATGGAACTCCCAGAGAACAGAAACTGGGCTTGATTCAAACCCAGAGTCAGTTTCTATGAATGCCAGGGCAGGACACATTTGTTCACCAGGAGGGAGAAGGTGCCACACTCCAAGAGGTCCCAGCTCAGCTCAAACTCACCCCTCTAGGTAGCCTTCCCAGATGCCCACACTGGTTCCACCTCAGCCATCACTTCTGCAGTCCCCTAGATCCACTCTCCTGTGTCTGTGTGGAGATCTGTCCCCCAGCAGGATGGGAGCATTGTGAGGATAGGGACCTCATCTGACTCATCTCTGTATCCCCAGAATGCAGCAGGGATCTCCTATCCTATGTGCTCCACAAATGCACATTTGTCAACTCTGAAGTCAGAAAAACTGCTAGAGCCCCTGCTCACCCAGGCCATTCCAGAACTGGGTCCTCCTCCTTTCCCACAGAACATGCTATAAATGGACAGCACACCAGCTGGCACTGGATACAGGGCTTGGATTTCACAAACCAGTGGCCTGCCCCAGGATGGGGGTGGGGTCGTGGGGGCCCCGGAGTGTGACCATAAATAGCCCAGCTCTGAGTCTTCCTCTCTGCTCTGATTTCTACCTGAGTCACCCAGCAAGCAGGGCCAGGTTGCCTAAAGGCGATGGCCTGGAAAGCTGAGGGCACGACCATGGCCTTGTAGCCAGCATTCTTGAGACTCCAAGGATAGACACAGTTGGTATCCACACCCACCCCAGCCAAGATCCTGGCCCAGAAGCCTGATAAAGCAGTGACACATGGGCTCTTCCTCTTCAGGGAAGCTGAGACAGATACAAACACTGTACAAACTGAGACAGATACAAACACTGCCCATTCCCGAGGCCCCAGGTCCCAGCTCTCCCAAGGAGAGAAGCCAGGGCCCCAAGGATCCAGGCTTCTCTAAAAACACAAGGAACAGATGCCTAGCCTGTTTGGCTCAGTGGATAGAGCGTCGACCTGTGGACTCAAGGGTCCCCGGTTCGATTCTGGTCAAGGGCACATGCCCAGGTTGTGGGCTCAATCCCCAGTGGGAAGTGTGCGGGAGGCAGCCAATCAATGATTCTCTCTCATCATTGATGTTTCTATCTCTCTCTCCCTCTTCCTTCCTCCCTGAAATTAATAAAAATATTTTTAAAGCCCTAACCAGTTTGGCTCAGTGGATAGAGCATTGGCCTGTGGACTGAAGAGTCCCAGGTTCAAATCCGGTCAAGGGCATGTACCTTGGTTGCGGGCACATCCCCAGTAGGGGGTGTGCAGGAGGCAGCTGATCAATGTTTCTCTCTCATCGATGTTTCTAACTCTCTATCCCTCTCCCTTCCTCTCTGTAAAAAATCAA